GATGGTGACCGCGTGCCCCAGCGTGGTGAGCGTGCAGCTCACGGACGCGGACGAGCTCGTGATCCTCGCGAACGCGGAGCTGTGGGAGTACCTGCCGTACCAGATGGCTGTCGACATTGCGCGCATGGACCGCGAGCATCCCCGCCTTGCGTCGCAGAAGCTGCGCGACATCGCGCTCAGCTACGGTGCCACGCAGCAGGTCGCCGTCATGGTCGTGCAGGTCGACGCGCTCTTCCGCACGCCATGTGACACGCCGGCGGTGCTCCAGCGCACCGTGGATGCCGCGAAGAAGCCCGCGCGCCGCGGCCGCGCGGACCACGACAGCACGCTCGCGCGCCTCGACCGCGAGGTGCTCCCGCCGATCGGCCAGGTCGCGCTCGTGTTCACGGACATCAAGCACTCGACGCTCCTCTGGGAGACGAACGCGGGCATGCAGGCGGCCATCCGCCAGCACAACCTGCTCCTGCGCCGCCAGCTCCGCACGATCGGCGGGTACGAGGCGAAGACGGAGGGCGATGCGTTTATGGTCTCCTTCCCGACGGTCGCCGCCGCGCTCCTGTGGTGCTTCAGTGTGCAGCTGCGCCTCCTCACCGTCGACTGGCCGCAGGAGATCCTGGACAGCCGCGACGGCGCGCCCGTGTACGACGACGACGGCGCCCTCGTCTACCGCGGCCTCTCGGTGCGCATGGGCGTGCACTGGGGTGCCCCCGTGTGCGAGGTGGACCCCGTGAACAACCGCATGGACTACTTTGGCCCCATCGTGAACCGCGCGGCGCGCATCAGCAGCGCCGCGGATGGCGGCCAGATCCTCGTGAGCCACGACGTGGTGCGCGAGCTCGGGCGCCTCCTCGACCAGTTCCGCGAGCCGAGCCCAGACCCCGCGTCGCCGCAGCAGCCGCCGATCCCGCGCGACATCGTCTTCCTGCGGCGCCTCGGCCTCGGGATCCAGGACGTCGGCGAGCGCCGCCTGCGCGGGATCGAAATGGCCGAGCACCTCTCCCTTGTGTACCCGAAGCAGCTCAGCAGCCGCGTCACGCACCTCGCCAACGTGCATGCCGCCAGCGCGCCGCAGCTCCTGTACGAGCCGACGCAGGAGCTGCTCGAGCTCGAGCAGGTGCAGCAGATGGGCATGCTCTGCCTCCGCCTCGAGGCGCTTTCCAATGGCATCTGCTTCCCGGGCATCGTCCCGCCGCACGCCGCCTGTGCACTGGCGCGCCCGGAGCGTGTGCGCGTTGTCGAGCACAGCCTCGCCCGCTGGCCGGAGCTGCTTATTATTGCCGCCCGCGAGGAGGCGACGGATTCGGAGTTGCTGCATGTTCTTGCGCAGCTCGTGACGCGCATCCAAAACTGTGCCTCGACACTGCTTCTCCGCACACTGGAGGGCGGGCGTGACGTGAGTGACCTGCTTCGCTTGTAGGTGCAGGCGGAGATGGGGGGAGCGAGGAGCGGGGGGGGGAGCGTGGGTCCGCAGGGTGGCTGGAGGGTGGGGTCCCCTTTTGTCCGAAGGTAGGCGGTCTCCCCTCTTCCGGGGGCACGCGGTACCTATCTTGCCCCTGCCGGCCGCTCCCACTCCGCCCTTCCCCCCGCTCTTCTCCCCCTCTCCTGCATCTCTACTCCCTCTTTGCCTGCCCTCTCTCCCCCCTCTGGCTTCCCCCCCCCCACCCCTCTATACTCTAATAGCACGTGTAGGCGGCTGACAAACCGGTGGTCGGCACGAACCGGCGGCATCAAGCCAACCAGAAGCCGCAGCAGCCGCAGGGACAGCAGGGTATGGGCCACGTGCCAGCCGCAGTCGAAAAAGGGCGGCTGCTGGCCAGTTTCCCCCCTTAGCCTCCTCCTTCGAATCAGGTGTGATGTCGTCGTACACAAACAAATTTGTTGGTTCCGCATACCCGGTGCACTCGGTCATTGAGGGCAAGGCGCCGACGGGCGTCGACCTGTACGCGCGCTTCGCGCTCGCGGGTGCGGTCTGCTGCTCGGTCACCCACGGTGCGCTGACGCCCGTGGATGTGGTGAAGACGCGTATCCAGCTGGAGCCGGAGGTGTACAACCGGGGCATGATCGCCGGCTTCCGCCAGATCGTGGCGAAGGAGGGCGCAGGCGCGCTGCTCACCGGCTTTGGCCCGACACTCTTCGGGTACTTTTTGCAGGGTGGCTTCAAGTTCGGTGGGTACGAGCTGTTCAAGAAGGTCATTGTCGACAAGCTCGGCATGGAGACCGCGCAGCGCAACCGCATGAGCGTGTACCTGGGTGCGTCCGCGCTCGCCGAGTTCTTCGCGGACATTGCGCTCTGCCCGCTCGAGGCGACGCGCATTCGTCTCGTGTCGCAGCCCACGTTCGCGAACGGCCTCTTGGGCGGCTTCGCGCGCATTGCACGCGAGGAGGGCATTGGCGGCTTCTACGCCGGTTTCGGCCCCATCCTGTTTAAGCAGGTGCCGTACAACATGGCCAAGTTCTCCACCATGGAGATTGTCCTCGAGAACGCGCTCCGCATCACCGACAGGAAGAAGCACGAGCTCACGCCGGGCCAGGCGACCGTGTACAACCTTGGCTCTGGTCTGTTGGCCGGTTTCGCCGCCGCGTTCATCTCGCAGCCTGCCGACACGCTCCTGTCGAAGATCAACAAGACGAAGGCGCAGCCGGGCGAGACTACGATCGGTCGTCTCGCGCACTTCTCCAGGACGCTGGGTGTCCGCGGCCTGTTCACTGGTCTGCAGACGCGTCTTGTCATGGTCGGTACCCTCACGGCGCTCCAGTTCGCCATCTACGGCAGCATCAAGGAGGCCCTCGGCGCGACCAACACCACCGAGATCTCCAAGGCGCAGTAAACGATGCGTGTACCGTAGTGTCTCGCAATGTAGGCGATCGTCATCCCCCTCTGTGTGCGCCCACGCGGCCGCTTCTTCGCGTGCGGACCCGCCCCGTCTCCTTCTCACCCGCGTTGCTCACGTGATGGATGTTTGGCCCCGCGGCGTCTGGGACACTGCCGGGCGCATGCAGTCACGGGACTGCAGAACTTCGTAAACGCAACCGACCCGCGAACCTTCTTTCTACGACCGGCAGCATGGTGAACCCTCCCCACGGTGGTGTGCTCAAGGACCTCCTTGTCCGCGATGCGTCTATCGCGGACCAGCTCCGTGACGAGGCCGAATCCCTCCCAGAGATCATCCTCACTGAGGTGCGTCCGCACGCGGGCGCCAGCTCACGCGCTGCAGCGCCAGCTTTGTGACCTGGAGCTGATCATCACCGGCGGGTTCTCCCCGCTCGAGGGCTTCATGGGCAAGGCGGACTACGACAGGTGCGTCTCTCTGTGTGCATGTCTCACCGCAGAGTGCTCTCGAACATGCGGCTCGCCATCGGCGCACTGTTTCCCATGCCGATCACGCTGGACGTGGCGAAGGCAGAGGTGGCCGAGCTCGGCCTGAAGCCGGGCGCGCGTGTCGCGCTGCGGGACCCACGCAATGACATGGCGATTGCGATCTTGACCGTGTCGGACCTGTACGACGTCGACCGGAAGCGCGAGGCGACCGCGGTATTTGGCGCGGATGACATCGCGCATCCGTCCGTGGCGTATCTGCACAACAATGTGAAGGACGTGTACGTCGGCGGGAATGTGCAGGCGATTGTGAAGCCGCAGTACTACGACTACGTGGAACTGCGCTTTACGCCCGCGGAGCTGCGCCACCACTTTGACAAAGTTGCGTGGCGCAAGGTGGTCGCGTTCCAGACGCGCAACCCCATGCACCGTGCGCACCGCGAGCTCACGGTGCGCGCCGCGCGCAAGCTGCAGGCGAATGTGCTTATCCACCCGGTCGTCGGCATGACGAAGCCGGGCGACGTCGACCACTACACGCGCGTGCGTGTGTACCAGAGCCTCATGCCGCGCTATCCGAACGGCATGGCCACGCTCGCGCTGCTGCCGCTTGCGATGCGTATGGGAGGACCGCGCGAGGCGCTTTGGCACGCTATCATCCGCAAGAACTTTGGCGTGTCGCACTTCATCGTCGGCCGCGACCACGCGGGACCTGGTAAGAACAGCAAGGGAGAGGATTTCTACGGCCCGTACGACGCACAGACCCTCGTGCAACAGCACACGGACGAGCTCGGCATCGAAATGGTGCCATTCCAAATGATGACGTACTTGCCGGACGCGGACGAGTACCAGCCCGTGGACGAAGTGAAGCCGGGCACGCGCACGCTGGACATCAGCGGCACAGAGCTGCGAAAGCGCCTGAGGACCGGCGCGGCGATCCCCGACTGGTTCAGCTACGAGAGCGTCGTGAACACGCTGCGCGAGAGCTACCCACCGAAGTCCAAGCAGGGCTTCACCGTGTTCCTCACCGGTCTCTTCAACTCGGGCAAGGACCAGATCGGGCGTGCACTGCAGGTGAAGCTGTACGAGCAGGGCGGCCGCAGTGTGTCGCTGCTCCTCGGAGAAACTGTACGCTCGGAGCTTTCCTCGGAGCTCGGCTTCTCGCGCGAGGCGCGCAGCACGAACATGCAGCGCATCGCCTTTGTCGCCGCGGAACTCACGCGCGCGGGTGCTGCGGTGATTGCCGCGCCGATTGCGCCGTACGACGACTCGCGCAAGGCCGCGCGCGAAACGGTCATGAAGAACGGCGGCTCCGCCAACTTCTTCCTCGTCCACGTTGCGACGCCGCTCGAGTACTGTGAGCGCACAGACCGCCGCGGTAACTACGAGAAGGCGCGCCGTGGCGAGATTCACGGATTCACGGGTGTGGACGATGCGTACGAGCCGCCGGAGGATGCGGACCTTGTCGTGGACGTGTCGAAGCAGAGCATTGCGGAGATCACGCACTCCGTTGTCCTTCTCCTCGAGGCGAATGCGTGCGTATTCCGACTCGCCCACCAGCTCACCGCAGCCTTATTTAAGCAGGGGCGCACGGGCGCATCCACCAGACGCAGTGCCGGACGGGCCTCGACAGAACACGTAGGCCCCCTGCTCTTCTATACAGATCCGTGGCGGAAATGAGGTGATCGGCAACTTGCCAGAGTGGTCAATGGGTGAGACTTGAACTACAACCTAGGCAATCTCATGGGCTCCGCCCGCACAGGTTCGAACCCTGTAGTTGTCGAATTTTTATTCCAAAAAAGTACCGGTGCCGCAGCATACGGGAACAACGCCCTCGGCTACGACGGCGACGCGGCGTCGTCGGCGGTGTCCATCGCCGCCGCATTTTCATCATCAGCGGACTCTGTCGCACCGCCGCACTCCACCGCGGCCGCGCCGCGCTCCTCCTCTGCCGCTTCTGGCCCACCGCCAAGCAGCCCCTCGTTCCGCCCGCGCGACTGCCGCCGCCCCGCGCGCTGCTCACTCGCTTCGGACGCCGCAGCGCTGTGCCCTTCCACACCAACGTCGGACGCGCGCGTGCCAGACTTGCGCACGGCACGCGGCTTCCCGCCCCCGGGACCAGCCCCCCCACCTTCTGCCACGGCCTCGTGCTGCAACTCCGTGGTGTCGCCGAGCGCCTCGTCCAGCTGCGCGGTGTGTTCCTTGCGCTGCTGGAGGGCCGTAGAAAGAGGCACTGGCATCGGTATCACTTCCTGGAGAAAGTCCATAAATTCGTTCTGCTGGACGGCTCTCGCTGGCCGTGAGAACGCGCCTGCGTGGGCATCACGCACCCATATCGTCATAGCGGACCATCTTGCGCTTGTCGAGACGCGCGTTCGCGCAGCCGTCGTCGACGAACTTCTTCACGAACAGCTCCTGCCAGTCAGCAAACACCACACGCAGATGTACCGTTGCGGCGCTAATGAGAAACGTCGCCTCCTTGCTGCAGATATCCACCGCGGTGTCTGCCTGTGGTGAGAGTGCGCCCGCAGGACCAACCTTGATGATCTTTGCGACGCGTGCGACAGGAAACACGGTCGTGCCCTTTTCGGAATCCCGTGGGCGCACCCCGCTCGATGCGTCCGCCGTGGCCGACTGTACTGCATCGTGTTCTCCAAGCGGTTCCGTTGCGATCGCGCCGTGCGCCTGCCCAGCATTCGGCTGCGCACCCGACTCCCAATCCGTGCTCATGGTGGCGAATCAAGGCGCGTGGCCGCGCGCACGCATCGCGTGCCGCGCAGCCAATCAGCACCCGCTTGGACCTCCACCCGACCACCATGGAGGACGCGGGCCGGGAGGAGGCGCATGCGGTCCCCTGGGAGGTGCGCGCTGGAGCGGGGCCCCTGCTCACGCGCAGAGCTACAGCCACCGCGATGTTGTGCTGTTCGCGATTGACGCGGGGCAGTCGATGCATGTGCGCGACAGCGACGGCGCCGTCCCCCTGGTGACCGCGCTCCGTGCGGCGGCGCGACTCATGGAGATCAAGCTGGTGAGCTCACCGAAGGGCTACGTCGGCGTGATGCTGTGGAACACGGTGCGCCGCCTAGGGCGCACCCCTCACGCCAGGCGCTGTCGCGGATGACGACGGTGTCCAAGAGCGGCTTTTGTCCCCACACGGTCGAGTACGTCGGCATCCGACAGGTGGACGTGCCGACCACATATACGCTGCAGCGCCTCGTCGACGGTGCGTGCGCAGCCAGTAGCTGACGCCAGCGGCGTCCGCAGACTCGGAGCGACTGCCGGAAGAGATGCGTGCTGCCCCGGCGCAGACGTCCGTCGCGCATGTCTTGGCGAATGCGCTGCATCTGCTCAGCGCCGCGTACGTCCCCGCGGCGGGCGCTCACCGCAGCGGCAAATCCGGCACGCGCCGCGTGTTCCTGGTGACAAACAACGATGACCCGTGCCCGGGCAGGGACATGAAGCGTGCACAGAAGGCGTGCATCGACAAGATGAAGGTGCGTCCGCGGGCGCGGCATGCTGACCGCCAGGTGCGTGCGGTACCCCCGCGCCTGACGCCCAGGACTACTACCGGCGCGGCGTGGACCTGGAGCCGTTTTTCATCAGCGGCGCGCAGCCGTTCCGTGTGAATGTGTTCTATGCGGTACGCGGATCGTGCCACACCCATCCTCACTACAGGACATTCTCGGCGTGTACGACGACGGCCTCGTCGACGATGCGCTGCGTCCCTGGCGTCTCCGCCAGATGCAGGACCAGAACGTGTCGAAGCGGAAGACGTGGGAGTCCGGCACCAAGTTCGCGGAACTGGACGAGCAGCTCGGCGGACGCGAGATGCCGAAGCGCGTGCTGTTCGACCTGCTCCTCGACCTGGGGCCGCTGCGCAAGGGCGAGGAGCGCAAGTCGCATGCGGCGGGCCACTGGCGCATTCATGTGAAGGGGTGCGTGCGTGGCCGCGCGTGCTCACACCAGGTACGCCCTCGTCGCGGAGGCGACCAAGGAGTTCCCCGTCCGCGTCACGTCGTATGGACGCGAGGACCCCGACGACCTGTACGAGGTTGTCGCGCACACAGAGCTGCGCGACGCGGTGCGTATGCAGCTGCGCCGGCTGACGAAAGGCGGGGGAGCGCGTGCCGTCCGCGCAGACCGCACATCTGTTCCATCTGGGCGGCACCGACGACAGCGACCGGTCGCAGATCGTGCTGAGTGAGGAGGAAGTCAAGCGCCTGCGCGAGGCGGGATGCGCACCGGGGATCCGCTTGCTCGGGTTCCGCGACGCGGGATTCATCCAGTTCCACGAGAACATCAAGCATGCGTATTTCCTGTACCCGTCGGATCTGGAGCACCCCGGGAGTAAGCGCGTGTTTGCGGCCCTGCTGCAGACAATGCTCGCGAAGCAGAAGATCGCTCTCTGCGTGTACATGCCGCGGCCGAATGTGATTCCGTCGTTCGCCGCGCTCCTGCCGCAGGCAGAGGAGGTGGACGAGGATGGGAACCAGGTGGTCCCACCGGGCCTCAACCTGCTCCCGCTGCCGTATGCGGACGATATGCGCGACGCGCCGGACACGCCGAGCAGTGTCCCGCCGACGGACGACGAGGTGGCGCGCGCACGCGGCGTCATCGAGAGCTTCCTGCGCCGCGAGCCGTTCAACCCGGACGTGTTCGTGAACCCGGCGCTGGCGCACCACTACGACGTGCTGAAGGCGATCGCGTTCGGCCGGGACATACCCGCGTACTGCGACTCGATCCTCCCCGACTGCGCGCTGATCCGCGAGGTGCGTACCAGCGCGCCGCATCGCTGACGGCAGCGCTCGCTCCAGGCGCTGCAAGCGTGGAATGCGGCGATCAACAGCGACGACCGCCTGGTCTCCGTTGCCGACGACCCTGCGTCGCAGGCCTCCTGGGACCCCGCGCGCAGCAAGGAGATCCGCGCGAGATGCGAGGACGGGTCCATACAGCGGGTCCGTTGCACACGCCGCGCTGCTCACCGCAGATGCTTGTCACAGAGCTCCGCGACGCATGTGACCACTTTGGGATACCCAAGGCGGGCCTGCGCAAGCACGAGTTGATTCGCGCTCTGACGGCGTATGTGGAGGGCGAAGCAGGGGAGGGGGGGGCAGGGGGGAGAGAGACGGGGGGGAGGGCGGACGATGGGGGAGCGAGGGGCGCAGAGGGGGCTGCTGGAGGGGGAGCGGGGGCGGGGGATGGGGGAGAGAGGGGGACAAGGGGAGCCGATGTGAAAGAAGATGGGAAAAAAGCAAAAAGAGAGTGACGGGGGAGAGAGCGGTGCAGGGCCAAAGAGAACGGGACAAGGGGGGCAGGAGGAGGGGACCAGCGGGCAGTGGAGCCAAAAAAGACGGGGAAAAGGGGAACGAGAATGAGAGAGGGTAATGCTTCCGTGAGACACGCCGCTCCCGCCACGCTCGCGAAGCCATCCCCATCGATTTCCACACTCTGCGTCTACAGCTTCGATCCAGGGAACAGGCTCTTGAATTCCCTCGGGTTCAGGCTGCTGTCCGGGTACGGCAGCCAAGGCGCACGGAAGTGCATGTGGCCACCGTCGACCGCCTGCGGTTACTCGTGCGCATTTGCCACCACGTACCAGGACCTGCCCAGTGATCCAGCTCGCGGCATCACTGAAGAGGAACACGCTCGCGTTCGCAATGTCGTCCTTCTGGCCAACGCGCTGGAGCGGAATAAATCCCTCGACAACGTCTTCGCCGCCCTGGGGGACGAGCCGGTCAGAACCCTGTCGGTTAGTAGGCGCGCGGACGGCGACATTACTTCGGTGCCCTGGATAAGACGTGCTGAGCGGTCAGTCATCGCGTACGCGTGAGGTGGATACGTATCTGGAGCAATGCAGTTGCTGCGTACGCCAAACGGCGCGAGCTCGACGGCAATTCCCGCGGAGAGCGCATCAACACCCGCCTTCGCGGCCGACGGGGCGATCTGCCAGGGGAGGCCCGAATAGTGCAGGGTCGCGGAAATGTGGATGTAGTTGCCGTGGTTCTTCTTCACCTCCTCCATCGTCGCACGCGCCGTGTTGAACGTTCCGAGCAGGTCGATCTCGACCACGGTGCGGAACGCATTCGCGGAAAGGCCCTCCATGGGCGCCATAAAGTTCCCCGCCGCGCCACAAATGACAAAGTCGATCTTGCCGAACGTCTCGACGGTCTTCTTCACCGCATCCTCCATCTGCTCGTACTTCCGCACATCGCCGGGCGTCGCAAGCGCGCGCGAGCCCGTATCCCGCTCGAGCTGCGCCGCCGCCTTCTGTAGACGGTCCGCCTTGCGCCCGACGATCGCGGCGCTCGCGCCGAAGCGCATGAGCGTTTCGGTGATCGCATAGCAGATCCCCGAGCCGCCGCCCGTGACAAACACAACCTTCCCGCGGAACAGGTCGGGCTTGAACACATTGGTTGCGGGCACCGCAGAATGCTTGAACGATTCGGCCATAGTAGTGGGTGTGTACGCACGGCTCCCGGGGATCTACGCACGGACCGGCCGGGCGCCCGAAGTGCACGTGACATGTAGTTTTGTGTATGCACGTGATGAGGACGAAGAGTGTGCCCTGCGCGCCACCGCTCTGCCACTCCTACCACTTGCGCGTATAGTCGAGATGGTGCGTGTGGCAAACCGGGGGCGCTCACACCCAGCCGTCGCAGAAGTCGTTCCGCACGAAGGTCAAGCTTGCGAAGGCGGCGCGCCAGAACCGGTACGTCTGTTGTGCGCGGCTGCTGACCGCAGCCCCATTCCCAACTGGTTCCGCCTGAAGACGGACAACAAGAT